CCCCCCCCATCTGAATTTTTGCTGAAGTTTTTGAGCTGACCTCAGTGTCCCTGCCTCAGATGCAAAGCAACGTGCTGGAAGATGTAATCACAGCCTTTTCCACTCTTAATTACAGAGGGAGCGCCCTTTCCAAACCTGTTATTTTCAAGGTCATTCAAGGAGGCAGTTTTATAGAGCCCTATAGCAGGTTTAGCAGATGCAACTGCATTTACTTTTCAAAGTCAGTTAAATTTCGGGACTCGCTCTGTTCAGGAGCATGCTGGGTCCTGGCTGGGCCTGGTCAGTTGGAACTGAGCTAAAGGGGACAGCTAGTGTGGAGATCCAGTCATGGGGCAAGAGCGTTTCACAAGGGAGGGAACTGATTCCAGGCATTTCTGCCAGCTCTTGCTGTCTCTAAAGACTCTCACTCATGTGAGTTAAAGGTTGTGACATGGGACGCAGACACAGAACGAGGTTTCAAAGCACAGAGGTGCCGGAGGACCCTGAGCTGGGGATGGAGTCTTGTTGCCCGGCAGGTTCTGGGCATGAGCTTCCAGCTCCAGAGCCTCTATGCTGCCTGGCCACCGGGCTGCTGCTCTCTGCTCCTCGGAGCCCTTTCCAGATGGTGCCTGCTGGTCTGCGTTAGGGTGGGGAGGCTCCATCCCTGTGCACACTGGCCGGCCGGGTGTGAGGGATGCACTGTTTCGGAAGGCCTTTGAGGTCCCCTGGCCCATCCTACCTTGAAAAGTTATTTAGAGACATTGCTCACGGCCTTCCTTGACCAGTCAGTTCACTTGTCTGACTCAAACCTTCATGCTGTGATTTTTAAAATTCTTTTTGCTTGGCTTTCTAAAACGCTCAGAGACATCCACTCTTCTCCTGGATAATTAAGCTAAGTCGTTCAGTTTGGTTCGTTTTCCATCCTACACTTCCCCTGTTCTTGAAGGTTCTCCTGGCCTGTGCATAGCTTTCACTCTCCTGGGAAGCAGACTGAGTGTAGCCATAAGCAGGATGACCATAAGCAGGATGCTGTGGGCCTTGGTGACCACCCTCTGTCTCCTGCAGAACACACAGGCAACACAGCATAAGAACAGTTCTAGAAGGAGGTAAAGCAGGCAGCCAGAAATGACCAAATGGGGGGTTCCGTGTTCACTATTTAACTAACTAATCAAATTCCGATTTATTTTCTTAAAAAGAAACCAGTAACACACATCCCTACACTTGTGCTGCTGTGAGCGTCAGTGGCCTTGGACATAAACCCATGTGGCACTGATCGGGGAGGTTCCCAGTGTCCCTTTGTAGAGTGAGGTTGAACAGCAAAGTGCCTCCAGCTGTCTGTCCCCAAAGGTCTCACACCTCGAATGGAAAGTGCCCACAACCAAATGCCAAAGGCAGCGGCTGCTTGATACTTTTGGGGACGTGGGCTCCGGTGCTCAGGCCTGGTTCCCTGAGGTCTGTGCTGTAAGCTGGCTGAGCTCCCGTTTCTCAGCGGCCTTCCCTCTGCTCCAGGCCAGCAAGCTGAAGCGCCACATCCGCTCGCACACGGGGGAGCGCCCCTTCCAGTGCCGCCTGTGCAGCTATGCCAGCAAGGACTCCTACAAGCTGAAGCGCCACATGCGCACACACTCGGGTGAGGCCCGCCCCATGGCCACGTCCCGGCTTCTTTAGAACGTGGATTTCTGTGGCCACGGGGCTTTTGAACTGTGTTGAGGGTTGAAGGGGAGGCACAGAAGCGCCCGCTGTGCCCACTGTGGCAAGCTCCCCTAGCATTTGTTCCTGTGGGTTGTTCAGGTGCCTCAAAGTCCACCCCTTAACCCATCCTTCAGCTTTAAGGCCAAACATATAACAGGTGTGCCGGCCCCGCCCGCGGTGGACACGCTGTTGAGTTGCATGAACAACGTGTCTGTTCTTCTCTGTGCCTTTTATGACCCTGAGGATGACAGCTGTGCGCCCACCTGAGTGGGCCAGTAGCCTCCAGGTCTGGGCCACGTGGACACAGCTGGGCCCAGTGGACGCTGTCTGGCTTGATTTAGGGGCTCACACCTGTGAGAAAGGGGTTGGTGGGGAAGCTGCAGGCACCAGGCATCTTTTAGAGGGGTGAGCCGCGCTCCACGGGGTGGTTCCGTCCCTGTCGTAGGTGAGAAGCCCTACGAGTGCCACGTCTGTCACGCCCGGTTCACGCAGAGCGGGACCATGAAGATCCACGTGCTGCAGAAGCACAGCGAGAACGTGCCCAAGTACCAGTGTCCCCACTGTGCCACCATCATCGCGCGGAAGAGCGACCTGCGTGAGTGTCTGACCCTCCCTCCCTGCCAGCATGGCGCTGGCGGCCCCCTCTGGGCACAGCGGGCAAAGGCAGAGCTGGTGTGGAGCCTGCCCGGCCGCTCTTGTCCAGGGACAAGTTTTTTTCCAGAGGTCTTTCAGCGCCATCTGGTGGCAGGTTCCTCAAGTGCAGCCTCGGCAGGTTTCCGTGCTGGGCCTGTCCACGCGTGGTGGGCCCCAAACCAGGGTCTCAAGTGATACTTTAGTCCACGTTGACCTGCTCTTAGGGAGGAAGACACTGTGGCTCAGAGACCCAGAGCGGCCTGTTCCAGAGTCCCCTGACCCTGGTGCTAGGGCCAGTCGGCTGTCACTCTAGCTCTGTGGGTGCTCTCTCCCCAAGTTGGGGGCCAGCCGGGCACCAAGGGCACAGAAGGCTCCCTTCAGGGGAATCACTTCACTAGGGTGACTCTGACACAGAGGCCACACTCCTCTGCTGAGCTTCGGGGACACCACAGGACAGGAGGGACACTGGGGGACTGCACACCAGGGATTCAGCCTGGGGACTGGGTGGGAGAGGAGGCCGAGAGCCTGTCTCCTGTCTCCTGGCTCCTTGGCCTCCCTTCCCGTGGCCTTTTTTCTCTTTCCCAAATTCATGACGTGATGGCGCTCAAAATGTGTTGGCAAAAATAAAAATTCCGCAGTTTGCTCTGAGGAATTCTAGAGGTGAGATAAAATGTTTTTGAAATAGTTCCCCCAAAATAGTAGAAGTGTTTGACAGATCTTTTGTTTTTCATCTGGAACATTCTGTCGATCTCGACTCACCCCAGACACAGCCCAGTGGGACTTGGGAGGAGCCCAGGATCAGGAGCCCGTTGCCGAGAGAGGCTAAAAGGCTTTCTGACACCGTGGCAGAGGAGCACGGTTATGTCACATGCCTGTGGGTGACACGTTCCACGTACCCCGGGAGGCTCCATCCACCATGAGAAACCACTCTGTAGATGTCCCGGTCGGACCTCGCAGGGTGGCCCCCCGCCACAGCTGTCTGCTCTGGTTCAGCCTTTCCCACGGTGACAGAAACGCCACCCTGAGACTTAGTCCAGCAGAGATTGCTCTGGAGCGTGGCCAGACAGTGTGTGTGCCCCAGGTCACTCTGGATGTGAGGAAGACAGGGCCTGACTCTCCGCAGGACTGTTGAGTCCGAGTGCGGAGGGGCTGTCTTCATGATGTGCGAGCCTTAGTTATCCTTAGACCGCCCCCCACCATGGGTCAGTTCTCAGGAGCTTGGTTAAAGGGACACTCTGGCTCCCGCAGGACCAGCCTCATGAGACCCTGACCCACACTGAAGGGGGTTAGATGAAGGTCCCGTAGCTGCAGAGGCTCTCCGCTGGGAACAGGGCACACAGGGAAGTGGGGCACTATCTGGAGGCATTTGGGCTGTCACAGTGGAGCGGGAGGCTGCTGGTGTCTGGCAGGTGGAGGCAGGGAGGCTGCTGGTGTCTGGCAGGTGGAGGCAGGGAGGCTGCTGGTGTCTGGCAGGTGGAGGCAGGAGGCTGCTGAACACCCTCCAGTGCACAAGACAGTCTACCCGCCCCACCAGGGAAGCCAGAGGTCAGCACCTGACAGGAGGTGACAGTCTGGGGCAGCTGTGTCCGCGACTCTTTCAGGTGTGCACTTGCGCAACCTGCACACCTACAAGGCCACGGAGATGAGGTGCCGCTACTGCTCCGCCGGGTTCCACGAGCGCTACGCCCTCATTCAGCACCAGAAGACCCACAGGAACGAGAAGAGGTTCAAGTGCCAGCACTGCAGCTACGCCTGCAAGCAGGTACCGCGCTGGTGCCCCGGGTGGCAGGGAGGTGGCGCGACGGGGCCCGGGAGGAGGGCGGAGCCGGCTTCCCTCGCTGGGAAACTGCTGAAGGAGCCTGGCACATCCAGAGTGGCCAGTGTCAAGCAGCAGCCCGAGGCCCCTGGGACCTGACAGGGGCCCACCCCAGCCAAGCCACTGTCATAAGAATGCCAACACGTCCCTTTGAGCTGTGTGGCATTTGCACTAGGTGCCAGGGCCGTGGTGGTGTCTGGCCCAAAGCATGACATGTCCCATGGGCCTGTGGGTCACTGTGGTAGCCTCGGGGCACCAACAGCAAATGTGTCAACTTTACAGAATCGCCAAAGCCCCTACACTGATACTTTCCAAGTGACCAGTCCAAGGTGTTACAGAATCATGCATGGACAGAAGATCCAGAGCACAGTGTAGACCAAAGGGTTTTCGGGACAATGGGACAGAAAGTTGACAGGCACAGTTTCAGGCTCCACTGCAACTGAACGTGAAGAAACACCATTTTTTGGGGGGTGGGGGGCTACCAGGGATTGAACTCAGGGGCACTCGACCACTGAGCCACATCCCCAGCCTTATTTTGTATTTTATTTAGAGACAGGGTATCTCTCAGTTGCTTAGGATCTCGCTAAGTTGCTGAGGCTGGCTTTGAACTTTGGATCCTCCTGTCTCAGCCTCCCAGCCACTGGGATCACAGGCATGTGCCACCGTGCCCAACTAGGAAACACCATTTATTGATTTGGGGCATAATATCAAAGAGCAATATCCACACTTATTTGAAAAAAAAAACCTATTAAAATTCTGCCTCCTTTTCTAACTACATATCTGTGATTTCCTCAGTTACTTCCACACACATCAGGGTAGAATCAGGGATAGGATTCCACCTAAATTCTTTGGAAGATTGTTAGATTCAGCAAATAAAAACACCAGACAGTTAAATTTGAATTTCAGATAAACCATGAATAGTTTTGCATTTCTGATTGTCCCAAGTATTGCAGTGAGCAACCTAGACTGTTAGACATTAGTACTATTTTTGTTTTGCTTTGAGAAATATATATATTTCTACAGAAATATGTTAACGAGTCGCTGGTTTGTTATTTTTTAGTGAATTGATTTTATTTTTACTTTTCAAACTCCCCTCCTGCCTCAGCCTCCCGAGCTGCCGCGGTCACAGGCATGTGCCACTGTGCCCAGCTGATACCAACGGGATGTGCTTGGCGTGACTTGTGCCTGTCTCTCAAGTCACTCCTGTGGTCTTACTTTTGAAACATCTAGTTTTTTCTTCACTAAGGACAGTTATTCCCACGGTCATGCTTTAAGACCAGCGTGAAGACCTGTGGTCGAGCTCTGCTGGGTCTAGCAGGGGTAGTGGGTGGACAGGGGTTCAGGCACACGGTACTTCCCATGCCGCAGGTCCACTGCCTGTGAACCTGGGTCTGCAGTGCTGTCTGCAGGTCACTATAGGGGACTCTCTGTGGATCATGGGGTCACCATCTCGCCACTCACCCCCAGGGTGGAACCGGAGCCCACACAGAGCTGACTAGAGCACCAACCCCGTGGCAGGGCGGGACGGTGGCACTGTGCCCACAGCGTGCCAGCAGTCTTGCTCGTTTGGTGGCCCTTGTGCTGGGAGGGGGGAAGCAGGGCGGGTGGTGGGTGGAGGCCTTCCACCAGCGGAGCCCTGCTCCTCCTTGCCCTAGGAGCGCCACATGACCGTCCATGTCCGCACCCACACGGGGGAGAAGCCCTTCGAGTGCCTTTCCTGCGACAAGCGCTTCCGGCAGAAGCAGCTTCTCAACGTCCACTTCCGGAAGTACCATGACTCGGATTTCATCCCCACGGTGCACAAGTGTCCCAAGTGCGGCAAGGGCTTCTCCCGCTGGGTAAGCTCGCAGCGCCGTGAGCCCGGGAGGACGCAGGCTCAGGCTGGTGTCCACCACCAGCCAGGCGTGGACGCCGCAGCCCCTGTCACCTTGGGAGGTCAGACCTCACCAACAGGCGGTCTCCTGTCCCCCAAAGCAGGCAGTCCCTCGCACCACGCCTAGCTGGCGGTTTGGGGGAGTTCTCAGACTCCCGAAAGGGCCTCAGCTTTCGAAACTTGTTTTTAAATGATCCCCGAGAACTAGATTGAGGCCACCTCACAGAGGTAGGTGGCTCTGGGCGTTTCTCAGGTGCCGTGGAGCGCGCCGGGTGCCCTGCCGGGAGACAGACTCGCGCTTCCTGTCATTCCCTCGGGTGCTGTGTTCATCTGTGTCTTCATGACAGGTCACCCCAGAACTTGTGGCTTAAGGCGGCGAATGTGCGTCATCTCGGGTTCTGTGGGTCGGTCGCTGGGGACAGGCTCCTCTGCTGGCTCTGGCTCTGGGTCGCCTGAGGCTGCCGGCAGGTGGGTCGGTGGGGGACACACTTCCACCTTGGCTCCCCCTGCTGCTGGCCTCAGCTGCATGGGGCCACTGCGTCCTCCCTGTCCAGGGCACGTGGGGGAACCGGAGGGAGGCCAGTGCCTGTTGCCGCCTCGTCTCAGGTGACACGAGTCCCTTCATCAGAAGTGAGTCACTGAGTGTAGCACCCCACGAGGGGTGCACAGTCCTCTGTGAGAACAGGACTGTGGGCCAGTGGGCGGGGTTTTAAAAGCAGCACAGGTGGCCAGCGAGGTCCCCGGAGGACGTGCGCTCCAGGTTTGCTGGGCCCTCGGTTATCTGTGTTTGACGGTTTTATGGGGGAAACTGTACTTTCTGTGAAAGTAGCCGTGTAGCTGCGTTCTTCTGAGCAGAGCAGTGGATAGTTCTGGAACCTCAACCCTGTTTGTGCAGGATTTCAAATGAAAGTGGTGGTGGTGGTACAGGTGGCATCGCCCACAGCGAGTGCCCGAGAGCAGCATCCTCAAGAGCAGAATGGGCCCGGGTGCCCCCGTGTGAGCGGGATGGCAGGGAAGGGGCGTCGGCCACGTGGTCCCAGGGAACATGGCGTCAGACGGCGTCTGTCTTCCACGCAGGAGGCTCGTGGGGGCTGGTATCTAGAATATCTGGAGAACCCCTCCAACTTGAGGAGGCAGATACCTCGCTAAAAACAGCAGCACCCAAATTTATCGTATCTGAGCAGCGTTTCTGCAGAGGAGCCGTGCAGGCCACCCGTAGACACACGGAAAGTGTCAGGGAAAGTCCGAGCACAGTGAGAGGCCACCAGGGCCACCCAGGGGAGGCCCTCAGCCAGGCGGCAGGGACGCGGTGGGTGAAGGTGGGGGACAGGACTCTCTTGTGTGGCCGGTGGGTTGCAGCATGGGGGAGCCACCCTGGACGGGGCAGGTCCCCGCCAGTGACACAGTCACCGCGTGATGCGGTGCCCAAGAGAACCGCCAGCCCCCGAGGGCCGAGTTGGTAGCCCCAGGTGGAGTCCCCTCGAGTGTCCAGCAGCCGAAGCTGCTGTGCTGGATGAGGCCGCCTGTCCTCAGCTAGGGGCAGAGCAGAGGGTGGGCACCTGCTCCGGCGTGAGGAGCCCCGACTGAAGCCAGGCCGAAGCTGCTGGGGCACCGTCCTCCGGGTGAATTGTCTGGGATGGCAAATCCGCAGACGCAGAAAGTAGACCCATGGCCGCTGAGCGCCCAGGGGCCTCGTGGGTGCGGGTCTTCCTGGGGGTGGTCAGAGTCCCTGAAGTTGGCTGCGGTGGCCTCTGAGAGTGAACCACAGCGTCTGCGTTCTAAGTGGACAAGTCCCGTGGTCCGTGGATTTCATCTCTGCAAAGCTGTTAATCGTAAGAGAGAGCGTATCTGGAAACCGGAATCCAAAATGATTTTTAATAATTAAATCATTCGCAGACTTCTGTTCACGGACACAGTCACAGTGATGGTGTCAGGGGCCAGAATGTCCCAGACCCGTCCTCCCCAGTGAGGACCCTGGCCCAGTGGATGCTGGTGGCTCCTGGCTGGGCTCAGTGCTCTCTCAGGCACTGAGAGCGTCCCCCCAGCTGCTGCTCACAGGCTGGCCGAGCTGAGTCTCAGGAGGTCGCGGGCTGGTAGCACCTTTGCTTTTCTCTCATTTTCAAAGAATCTTTGGCCTCTCAAAAGGCGGAGCGCTCCTGAGCACCTTATCGACCAGGGAACGGCCTGCCACAGCGTCACACTGGCCACCACCGCCGCTGCCACTGTGGGCAGTGAGTGACGGACACAGCTGCACTCTCATAGAAATTGCAGGGCAGATGGGACCCCTGGTCAGAGTGTGCCAACCTCATTGGCTGAGCCCAATCGGGAGGAGCCGAAGGGACCTCCCGGGCCTCCTCTTGGTGTGCTCTCCTGCCACAGAGCAGGACACTTCTGGCAGCAGGTCCAGGTCGGGGCAGGGGCGAGGTGGGGCGTTTCATGTGATCAGCAAATTCGAGACAACCAGCTTTCACGTTTGCATGTGAACTTTAGAAACAGTGACAATTTTCTAGCTGATTTTAAGTCAACCTCTGTGTTCATTAACTGAGAATGTGTCGCTCTTGGGCTTGACTGGGCAATACTTGACTTTGTTTCCAATTTTGAGTGTCAGGTACACTTTCATCAGTAGCCACCTGTGTCCTCGGGCCCGGTAGGTCCAGGAGAGAAGCTGGCAGGACAGCCCGGCCCCCAGTTCTGTAAAATCGACGGGAATCTGTGGTTATCAGTCCTCACTTAGAGAGGAGCGGCTTCCAGGAGAGCTAATGCTGCCGTCCTGTCGCTCCTGTTATAAAAAGAATCTAGGCCAGCGAGCTGGGCCAGACCGGCTCAGCAGGAAGGGTCACTGTGAGAACGTCCTCTTTCCTGTCCAGGGTCGTGAGGGCGCCTGTTGCCTGCTGTCTTGCCGAGGCTCGTCCTCCAGCTGGTGTTCAATGCAGCCGGGGACGCGACCTCACGGTGCCTCCGTCTCTCCCGCAGAGCAACATGCACAGACACGCAGAGAAGTGTGACTCGGGCCAGGAGAGGACGGCCACCTCGGGGAAGGGAAGACGGATGAGGAAGAGGCGGCCGACAGTCCCCAAGGAAGCAGGAAAGGATGACGGTACCTCCTTTACACAAACTCGTTTTTCCCTGGGATGGCGACCTCTCTGAACTGAGGGTCACTGCAGGGGACATGGCTAGAAACAGCCTGTCCACTCAGGTGGAGGGCTCCTGGCTGCTGCCTCTGGCCACGGTGGGCAGGTTCTGCTGGTGACGCAGGGAGGGTGCCCTGGTTCTGCTGGGGGGTCTGGGGGAGAGAAGGGCCGGGTGTGCCAGAGCCCCGACAGCTACATGGTCACCATAGGCCCTTCCAAGCTTGTCTGTGAGGCTCAAGGACAGCCGCACTGACCTTCAGTACCCCAGAGACTCTGTGGTCACAGCACTGTCACCCATGCCCGCCAGAGCTGTCCTAGGGCTCCTGTGATAAATGAACTCAGAGTAGCCGAGGGTGGTGCCCAGCTGCAGAGGCCAGAGGCCCCACACAGGCCTCAGCAGAGCGTGTCCCTCGGGGCTGCAGACAACAGTCTCTCCTGCCTCTGGTGGCTGCCAGCATCCCCTGGCCAGTGGCCTCCTCCTCAGGTGGCCTTCTGCCTTCTGTGCCTGTGTCTCCTCCTGTAAAGACACTTGTCTTCAGACGGAAGGTCTGTCGGGAAGTCCAGCATGGCCTCATCTGGGGGGTCCTCACCCTCCTCCTGCCCTTTGTCCAGGTGAGGGAAGTCACAGGCTAGACTGGCCCCTGTGCACACCTTTCCTGGCTGAACCTTTGAGCTGAGAAGAGGACCCAGAGCAGGTGGCCTTACCCCCAAACACTCCCCTCTAAACGTCCTCATTGTGGCTCCAGCCTCCATCCTTGACTGGTGGGTGTCCCCATGGGGGTGGTGCCACCCTTCGTCCCTTCAGAGCTGCGGGATCACATAGCTGGTGCCCAGGCCATTCAAACTGCAGATGAGCCGTGAATCATTGTTCAGCATAAGTATGCCCCACACGCTACTTGGGATATACTTGTACTAAACATTTATCCACCGTTTCTGGAAACTGCCGCTGAACAGGTGTGCGCAGTCCTTACCCTTCCGGGCTTTGTGCAGGGTGGGTTCTGGGCCCCTCAGAGCAGCCCACGGATCTCCCTGCCTTCGCCCACCTCTTGCCCACCTGCAGAACTCCACAGCCGCCTGCTCCAGGCCTGGAATCCAGGTCCTGCCGGGCGGGGTCCTGGCAGACAGAGGGGCCCCAGTGGAGCACCCTGGCCAGCCTCATAGGCACTCCCCAGAGTGGTGCCTCTGCCCCCTGGAGCACTGTCCCCTCTGGAATTCACACGTCCACCCAGGGCTTGCACAGGTCTGCCCTCCCACCTAGGACAGAACTGAGGCAGGAAGGAGTGGGTGCCCAGCCTGCCCGGTCCAGGAAGCAAGCTGCAGCTGGGCCCCTGGGTCCCCACGCTGAGGTCCTACAGCACAGCCTGGCTGTGGATGTCCAGTGTCCCCAGCCCAGACTCCCTCCCCCTGCCTCGGGGCAGGGGCTCCTGACCTCTTCTCAGGCAGGTGGGCCAAGTGGCTGCTCCTCAGCATCCTGCATCTCCCCATTCCCAGAGGACTTCCTGCCGTCACCTGCCAGCTCTTGGGCTTCCCCCTTGGGCCCAGGGCACGGGGCTGCCCACGGTGCTCGCGGGGTCAGAATAGAAGGAAAGGGTGAGCGGCGGCAGACCTGGCCTGGCCTGAAGATGTCTCCATACCAGCGATGGTGTTGAACGTCACATGGCGGAAGGCCCCAGTGTCCTGCAGGAGCGCCCTGCCGCTGGACCAGGTGCAGGTGCTCTCCTCGGTGCTCAGAGCGGAACAGCACCCACCAGCAGGCTGCTCGCCCCAACTCCCACTCATGCGCACCTGGGCCATGCTGCCCGCTCCTCGTGTGACAGCCCCTGCTGGCACCTGGCCTGGGACTTGAGCTCCCCAGAGCCCTGACCCTCTGTCTCCACCTGACTCAAGACGTGGCCTCTCCGTGTCCCTGCTGAGCCACCTGGAGACCTTCCAAATGTGCACACGAGGCCCCATCCTGACCCCATCCCAGCCCCTCCTTGGCCCCCAGGGCTGTGAAGACCAGGCCCTTGTGGCCATCACTCTTTGCTGCCCGTGCAGTGGCCGCCCTCCTCGCCCTGATCCTGTGACTGCTGCGCTCGTGCAGGTCCTGAGGTCTTCCCCCCCAGACAGGGCCAGCCTTGTTCCCCAGGAGCCCAGGACCATCCTGCATTGGTGTGACTCTGTGCTGAGTGTCTGCTCCCACGTGGACCCTGGTCCCCTCCAGGGCAGCGTGTCCAGTCTGTTCCTGTAGCACTGCCCGGGGCCTCCAGCTGGCGTCCCTTCTTTCTCCACCTGCTGGGTAGGAGAGTGACCCCCAACCTGGCCCCTGCTGAGAGGAGGCTGAAATCCTACCCACAGTCCTCCAGGGCAGAGAGGCCCATCACTCTACCTGAGCTGGGACCCATCCTAAAATGCCGTAGAAATAACGGCTTCCCTGCCAATCAGGTCTCTAGCAGCTCCTCCGCAGTTCTCCCTCTGCACGCCTAATGTAGTAGGTCCTTTAAAAGTTATCTGTGAAATCCCAAGGCGCAGTGGTGCAGGCCTGTAATCCCCACAGCTCAGGAGGCTGAGGCAGGAGGATCACGAGTTCAGAACCAGCCTCAGCAACTTAGCGACGCCCTGTCTCTGAATTTAAATTTTTTTAAAAGGGCTGGGGATGTGGCCCAGTGGTGAAGTGCCCCTGGGTCCATCCCTGGTACCCAAAAGAAGAAACAGTCATCTGTTGAGCCCTTGAAAACCTTGGGCAAAAATCTGTGTGAACTAGAGTAACCTTCACTGAAATTCTGAATGGCTTGGTTGCCGTTTCAAAGTCGGTGACATTTTTGCTGTGGAGAAGAGTCGGACAGAACAGCAGCGTGGGCAGGTGAGCTGGTGACTCTGGGGAGGGGCCCTCGTTGGTGCAGAGCTGAGCTCAGACCTGCTTCCTGGACACCGAGGCCAGGGGGAGCTTTGCCCAGCTGGACAGAGGGCCCTGTCCCCCTCCTCCCTACACTCACCTTTGGAACTGGAGTCACGCCGTCCAGGTCAGGAAAGGGGCACCTGGCAGTGCTCATGCCCTGAAGGTCCACGCTCCAGGAGGGCGGGGACGGGAAGCTCCGACTGTGGCTGAGGAGGGGCTTTTCCGTGTTGGGAGACAGCTGTTAAAAGCAACGTGTGGTCCTAGACAAGGGACCTGGCTCATGGTAGCAAGAAGCACCACGTCACCTGACTTCAGGTCTTGGTGACCTGGGCTCTCGAGACAGCTCTCGCTGTGGCCCACGGCACACTCCTGGCACGTCTGCCCTCCCCAACCCCACGATGCCGGGGCAGAAACACCTCCGGCAGCCGCAAGCTGCCGCCATACATGCTGTTGGTGTGGATTCGCGGCTCCTGGCCCAGCCGCTGGGGAGTGGCTGGCTGAGGCCTGCAGCCTGCCGCCACCACTGTCCCTCTGCACTGCAGGGAGCTCTGTGAGCAGGTGGTGGCCTGTTCCTAGCAGGGCCCTGACGGGCTCCTCGGTGTCCTCGGATCCAGGGACATGTGCCGACCAGCAGCTGGCTCTTTGCTGTGGCCTTGTCCTGCTGTGGGCTCTGCCATAAGACGGCAGGCAGCAGGCAGGACTGGTCTCTGAACCACATCCTGTATAGCAGCATCTCTGGTCAGCAGCCATTTGTCCCCTGCCCCCTGTGATGCCCACATGTGCCCCTATCTGGAGACAGACATCTCACGGGGAGGCTGCTGCCCACTCCTGCAGTGACCGTTCTGAGCTCAAGGGACTGTGACTCAGGCAGAGGGCTGGCACCAGGGTGAGTTAGGAGATGCCTGTGGGTTGGAAGACGTCCCTCACACGCCCTCTCCCCTGTCCCCCCAGAGGCTGCTGCAGCAGAGGTCTCCGTGGCCAGCGGGGCCCCGCTCCCGGGCCAGGCAGCTCCTGTCCCCCGTGAAGAAACAGCAGCCGGTGGCAGGGCCCTGGGTGAAGACATGACCTGCGAGGTCATCCTCAACATGATGGTCGAGTGACGAGAGTCCCCTCGCCCGCCTTCTGTTCTCCCAGCCCCCTGGCCCCTCCAGCTCTTCTTTGAGACAAGTTGATGACAGTGATGTCCCGTTTCCCCAAAGTTTGAGTGGTTCTAGGAGTGCTGACGGTGAGTGTGGGCAGGTCACAAGACTCACGGTCGTTCATAAAAGATGAAAGCCCCGGCCGGCCGGCCGGAGGGCAGCAGCTCAGACCTAGGAGTTCACTCTCCTCCAGGTTGGCAGGGTGCCCGTGAATGCCTAATGAGTTCTTGAGAGCGGTCATTTCCGTGGTTTGGCCCAGCTGGTGCTTCCACCGTCTGAGCTGGAAGACTTCACGTTGAACTGCCCACACCCACCCTTGGTGGCTCTGATCGTATGATTTTAAACTCGAAAGACTTAACTTTGTGTCCTTTTTATGCATATGAGTTTTCCATGGAATTTAAAGCTACCCTAATACTTACAATTAATTCTAAATCCAACAAAAAGATCCTATTACAGAGGAGAAAACGGAGTAGACGATGAAAGACAAGGTTAGAGTAGACGATGAGGAGCGCCCTGTCCCACGGGCTCAGGAGCAGAGCTATCCCTGAGGTTTGTCTTCTCTGTTAACGATGGAGCCAGGCAGGTAGGGAATTGCTCGTTATCGCTGTTGCTTACGCGTGAAGGAACCTGTACTTTCCTGACGCACAGTGGCGGGTGAGCCTGTCTCTTGCCCTGTGGGGTCCCCACCCCAGCAGCACGGCAGGGGCCTCCTGAGCACCCCAGCAACCAGGGCTGCTCTGCAGGAGCCCATTTGTGTCTTGGCGTAGCTCGCAGCTGCTCGGCTGTGGACCTTTCCTTACTCCCATATTTAAAAATCATTGATAGTTCCCAAGTTCAGATTCTTAAAATGCTGATCTGTTGTTCGGATTGTCCCAAGTTCAGAAGCCCCGCACAATGGGAACATGTGGAAATAATTTCCTAGCAAGAAAGGCCTGGTATCCCCTCCGTGCCGGCAAATTAATTCAGTTCATACAGTGAATTTAAATTCTGTGTCCGTCGTACTCTGTCATGGTGACTGTAATTCTCTCATGCTTTACTTTTGATTGTTGTTTACAGATGTTTTGCATCTCAATGAAATGAAATGACTTAAACTTGCTCTCTCTGTCATGTTTAAATGATGTCCTTTAAAAATGTGTTCTTGGGCTGGGGATGTGGCTCCAAGGTCGAGCGCTTGCCTACTGTGTGCCAGACCCTGGGTTCCATCCCCAGCACCTCTCTCTGTAGGGAGGAGGCGGGAACTGCAGCCCTGGCGCCTGCTGGTGGGAATGTGAAATGGTGGTGTGGACACCCCCACCCCCCACACACACACCCCCCACCCCGTGCAGATCTTTAGGAGTTAGAATTCCCACCTGAGCCAGTAATTCCACTTCTGGCTCATGCCCCAGAGATCTGAAGTGGGTTTCAAAGAGCCACATCCATCGCAGCCTTAGCCACAGTAGCCAAAGATGGAAGCTGTTCAAATTCCATCAATGGGTGAATAGACCAGCAAAATGTGGTAGATTCATACAGTGGAATATTGTGAAGCCTTAAAAAGGATGGGAATCCTGCTTCAAAATGGATGAAACTTGAGGGCATTTTGCTGAGTGAAATCAGCCACACACAGGAAAAGCACTACATGATCCCACTTGCATGGAGACCCTGGAGTGGTCAGATTGGTAGAGATGGACAGTAAAATGGTGGTCTCCAGAGGCCGCAGGGAGCAGGCAATGGGGACTCAGTGTTTAATGAGGACAGCGTTTCAGCTTTACACGGGGAGAGGAGTTCTGGAGTGGATGGAGGGGGGTGTCACCTGACGGCATGAATGGACCCAGCTCCACTGTGCTGTGGGCTTAGGAATGGCCAGGATGGGGCACTTCCTTGTTATTTTACAGCAGTTGATTTTTTAAACTTAAGAACAGATGATACAAGAAACATTTTAAGAACACAAGTCTTGTTGGTATCCAAAGACATCAGTAAAAACACATGAGGGCTTTGTAAGAAATTACACATTGTGCGTGTGGAGCACCGGGAAGCAAAACTCACCTGGGAAGGTTGACGTAGGTTCCCTCCTGCACCCAGAATTCCACCCAATGCCTGGATTAGAGGTCGCCCCTGGTCCTGTGGTGCCCCCACTGAGCTGTGGTGCTGGACGGTCATGGAAGCAGTGCCCGTGGTCCCCACAAGGGGGCAGGCGATTCTTTCTTTTGCGATATTGAGACCAGTGAAGACTGACTGGAATACGGGCGCAGTTACTGCTAAGTCTGGGCCAGTTTATTAATTCAGCACCGTACTGGAATAAATAAAAAGTGGTTTGCACTAGTAACAGGACATCTTGCTCTTGAGGTTGCTAAGGAAGAGAGGGGTGTTTGTGAAACCCAGCAGTGTGGATGCTACTGGCTCGGGGTCTTGGGAAGCCTGGTGAGGGACGTGCGTGGTGCCTTTAGGACAGTTAGCCTGCAAGGGTTTGGAGGTCCGGCAGAAGGTAATTCCAGAATGCACATCTTTTGCCCGATTTAACATCTCTGATTGGTGGGGAGAGGGGAGAGGATTTTAAGTTGCAGTACTGTTGACAAGGGATGTTTTTAAACCAACCTGAGACGGTTCCTGGACGGGCAGGGGCGGTGGGAATCCATCCTCAGGAGCCCCCTGTTTTTGTTAATGACATCTTTATAGTTGTACGTGGTTTGGGTTCATCCTGGGGAGCCTGCCTCTTGATGTGACAAGACTCTCTTGCTCCCAGATACTATTGCTCTGTCACTGTTTAATTTTTCCTGATAACTCTCTTTCTGATAGCCCCATGGGGCGCTCTTTCCTGACGATTAGTGCTAATGGGCGTTGTGGTTTCCACTGACCCACGTCCACTGAAGCTTGGGGTGGGCGGTTTACCTGGTTGGTTATCTCCACTCGTCCTGTCCTTTGTTTACTTATTAACTGAGTGGGTCAGAGAAGCCCAGTGTTGGTGGCAGCGTAGTGTGGGATGCTACTTTGGGCAACGGTGACATGGTTTCCAGGGCACGGCCGTGGGTACGAACCTGGTCCCTGTGAGTCATCTTTGGGGTCTGGAAGGTGCCTGTGCTCACCTTTCTGTGCCGTGCAGGTCAAGTGCACCCTGGACCCTCGCCGCTTGCCGGGGCACAGAGCGCTCTGAAAACCCCTGGAGTGGAGGGCAGCAGGCCACCAGGGAGGGACAGGAAGGCCGCCCGGGCTCCTGGCTCACGGCTCCCCTTGAGCTCTCACTTCCTGTTAACCAAGTGACAGTGTGCGGGGGAGTCCCAAGGAAAGGCTCATCCTGACAGTGACCATAATCACACCCCAAGGCCCGAATCTCAAAGCAGTGACCCAGGGTGTTGGGGGTGTCACCTGGTGGCAGAGCATGGCCCAGCAGGCATGCGAGCTGGGGTTCCCACCGCAGCACCCAAAGAACTAGCAGGAAAGGACCAGGAGACAGCCGCTGGTTGGGGGGTGACTTGACGGTGAGTCCATCGGCGATGGCCGCGTGTCCGTGGGAGCCACTGGTGGCTCTGCTGGTCCCGGAGCCTCTTCACAGCCCTTCGCATCTGGAAGGACACACCCGGTGGAGAGGGCTCCTTGGGCCTCGCAGCCTGGGACCTGCTTCCCCCAAGGACGGTACCACCCCTGCCGCCAGGGATGGTCCGAATGCTGACGGAATGGTCTCAAAAGGGACCCGAGGACATTTCTGCTGGATAAAAACAAACATTTTGTCAATTAAATAACTCGTCTTCTGCAGGCCTGCTCGGGTCTAGGTCTGCTGCAGTACAGGAGCTAAACAGGCTGCCCCGGAGGTCACAAGTCACTTGAAAGTGCAACAAGGGACAGGCCTGCTTTTCTCTCTGCTCTGGGCCCTACCAGGGCAGCCCTGCCAGGCGGCTCTACAACAAGGCTCCTGCTTGAGGGAAGGCGGCCTTCATCCCTGGCTGGATCCAGCTGCAGGGTTTGAGCCACAATCCTGAGAGACAAACCCAAGGACGGCCTTTGGTTCCGTGGGAATCGCAACTCGGGGGTCTGGGCTTTCAGGATCTCAACCTCAGGATTATGGCCCTGGAGACTGCATCTTTTGAGATCATGATGGACGCGGCCAGTATGTGGCCGGCAGAGCCCTGGCACCTTTACTCCCAGGACCCACTGGAGGCCACAGGGTCAGCGCCCCTGACTTCAAGGCCAGCAGTCTCCCCCAAACTGGCCATGACTCCTGACTCCACTTTTTTTTCCACCTTGTGTCCCTGCATTCTGGGAACGTGATCCGGAGGACGCTGCTCCGCGAGGCTCAGTGGCCTTTAGGTGAGGGAGGGGGAGCTGCCACCCCCCACCCCGTCCTGGGGCCGTTTCCAGGGGAGGGTGGGAGTCAGGGGAAATCGCTTTGGAACAGAGGGGCGGGGGCAGAGGGGGGCCCAGCTGTGCCAGGGCTGGTGGGCAGCATCCTCAGGTCCCGGAGCTTCCTGCTCTGGCAGCACACAGGACCCTGGACCCTGCCCCCTAGGTGTGCACTTCACCCCATGGCAGTCCCTGGTCACTTCGCACACATTGAGGAACCAGCGTGGTCCCTCCTCCTGATTCATAGCTATGCTTAGCTCTGGCCAAGACACGCCCGGCCTGCGTCTGACCCCGCCGTCCCCATGCAGGCCCAGGGACCTCCCTGCCTGTGAAGCCCTGGCACCACTGCTCATAAACCTCTCTTGGCACGCACGCCCCACCCCAGGACGTGTGAGGACCGGCTGTGCCATACGTGACTGCACCTGGGGCCACCTGTCCCCAGCTGGGATTGTCCTGTCCACTGACGGGGAGAGCAAAACTCCCTTCCCTGGCCAGGCCCCGGGCACTTTGTTCTGGATGGTTCTGCCCAAAGAGCAACTCAGCCTCCCTAGTGGCCTGTCAGCTGACTGTCCCCGAGGCTAGGGGTGAGGCAGAGCCCCTGCCTCCAACATGTGACCTGGGGGTGGAATTGGCCAGCCTCCTCCATGCAGGTGACGGGCCAGTATGCCAGCTGCCCGCGGTGACTAACAGGAGTCACTCCACAGGATTCACTGCAGGCCAGCCACACACCAGGGCCAGCGAGGCCCAGCAGGACTCGCTGACCACAGAAAGTCCTCTGTCCGAATCTGCCAGCCCCTTCTGTGCTGCCAAGATGGTGGTCCACCTGGGGGAGACCCGCTGTCAGGCGGGGCAGCCGCGATTTCCATAGGCGATTCCCACCATTGCTTGCGGCAGGTAGCAGGACGTCAAGCATTTAGATGAGTGGATCTGCACACGGGGAATTTTGGCATTGAATGAATTATTTTTAAGCTGGGCTTGGTGGCACACGCCTGTAATCCCAGGGGCTTGGGAGGCTGAGGCAGGAGGATCTCGAGTTCAAAGCCAGCCTCAGCAAAAGTGAGGCACCAACCAACTCAGTGAGATCCTGTCTCTAAATAAAACACAAAACAGGGCTAGGAATGTGGCTCAGGGGTCAAGTGCTCCTGAGTTCAATCCCTGGCAACTCCCCCCGCAAATTTTTTTTTTTAATTCCAAAAAAAAATCAGAAATTAGACGTGAGATGCTAAGGCCTTCAAACATGGGCCAAATGGAAAGTAGTTTGTGATTTCCTGGGAGTGGATGACAGAGTTATTAGTGTTATTTTCCAACAATGCATTATTTATAGATTTTTAAAAATTTTTTCAAACATTTTTAAATATTTTGAGGCCTAACCCTAAACTGTAGTAAAATCCCCTTTTCAAGTCCATGAGTTCTGACAAATGAGCCTCCGGGTCACCAGCACTGTAGTCCAGAGGTGGTTGGCATCGTCACCCCCATGTCCCCCATCCTGCTCTGTAGCCAGCACCAAACCTGCTCCAGCCCCTGGCAGCCTCTGACTCAGTCCTGTCCCTAAGGTTTGGCCTTTTCCCGAACATCACATAGATAGGCTCATCCACTGCATTCAACAGAAGCACCTGGAGATCCAGCCCTGCACTCTGTAGGCCTCTGCTCCTTCCTGTGTGCTGCTGAGTATTTCCCCCTCGTCTCTCTGGATATCCCACAGTTTACTCATCCGCTCACCAGTTGCCTCCGTCAGCTCTCTGTCCCTGTGACAAAATACCAGAGGCCGTCAACTTAAAAG